CAAGTTGAGGAAGACTAATTGCGGTTTACAATTTCTGGAAGGCTGTAGTAAAACAGAAATCTCAAGAGATTATGCAAACAAAGCCACGAGAACGAAGGCCACAGATGACAGCACATTTAGTGTCAGCAGAATAATTTAGCATGCTATCAAAAAGAACGCCAAGATCACTAAATTCATATACCTCACACTACAACATAGTATTGACACAGTACGAAAATGACAGAACGGATGTTTCGCGAGATATATTCATGAAGTTAGTCTTTGAAGTACATTCAGACAAAGGTCATTGTTATAACACCATTCGGAAAAATAACACAAATCTGACTTTCAACAAGCGACAGTCTTTGACTGAATGAACTTTTTAAATATCTTGATGTCATCGACATACAAGAGAAAAGAAGAATAATGAATTGCAAAAAAAGACATCGTTGACACAAATTTAAAAAATTAGCAGATCCCACGTAGTGTGGGAATCGGTGATATGCGAAGCACGAGTGAGAAATGTTGATGTGCCATTTTAAAATCAGCACAACGTTACGAGTTGGAGGTAAATGATGCCGTACATAAAAAACGAATGGTGGGCATGGTGTAAACCACTACCCACCATTATAGTGGATTAATGTAGTGGGTGAATGCTGGAAAACGTCCACTATAGCGCATGGTGGGATATGGTGGGTGCTGCAGTTCCGGCAACGCTTCAGCGCGACATCGCGTCAGAATCACCGTGACGAGCTGCCGCAAAAAAATAAAATAGAATTGTATGTGAAAAAAAAACGATGAAAAACGATGTAAAAAACACCCGTCCCGTAAAAAAAAAAAAAAAACCTGCCACGGAGGATCGAACGTGCAACCTGTCGATTCCCGTTCGGAGACACTAACCGCTGCGATATACCAACATGACGTACTTAGTGTGCTAAATAGCTAGTTCACATACAAACTTACGGTTCAACTTCAGTTTTGTTAGTCGTGTACTTCGACATAGACAAAATCTGCACCTGCTACTAAAATTTGCACAATCATTAAACACAAGCAACTGCTGCCTGTAAAGATTGCCACTGCGATAATGACACCAGCGCCATTTTGCCATTTTTTTTACAATTCACAACCACAAGAGAAAAAAAAAACAGATGGACTGGGGAGCAGCTACAGTTTACCGGCGGGGTCTGACAAGTTTGATATCCGTTTCGCACTCGTTCCAAAGAACGACTCTGTTCACGCTTTATGACGCCTCTAGGCTCAATTCATAGATACGCCCACCTAATTTAATTGATTGAGTATTAGGATGCTTTTCACGCAACGTAGAGGGCAGTCGTGCCTAGCGCACTGCTGTAGCTCTTTCGCTATAGCAACAACTACATAACGGCTTGGCCAAAACGAATGCAGTGTGCCGGAAACATTACGCTATCATATTGGTTCCCCAAGCAGCACGAATTGCCAAGTCTGTGTCCTCGCATAAAAGCTAGAGAAGTGCCGGCGAGTGCGACTGGCGGCTGTCGGTGAGGGGAGACGTACGTTCTCTGGGAGTACTGGAATCACGTCGCATCAATGTTTGTTGCTTCTTGCGCGGACTCCGTACCCTATGAAAAATGCTTCATTTAGGGCAATTGATGCCATGGCTGTGTTGTATTGTTATTTTTAATTGTCAAAATTGTGTATTCTGAAACCCAGAAACACGGATAACACAATTGTACGGGCTCGGTAGGTAGGCCTAACCTTTGGTGGAAATCATGGTGGTAGAACATATGTAGTGTACAAATCCCAGCGCGGTACACTATATAAATTGCCCGCCATTATAAGCCCACCCTTCATCTGCTTACTGCTTCCCAGCATTATCGCATTGGTGGGCAGAGCGTCCCATCACTGCCCACTATCTAAACTCTACTTTCCACCACCGTTTCCATTTACCCATCTTCTGTGCACCATACCACCCAGTATGTCCCGGCATATCCACCATAATTTCCACTACGTCCCACCATACCCATCATAATTCCTACCATACTCACTATTATTTCCACTTCGCCCACCATGTTTTCCAGTATCCACCATGGCAGTTTTTCCGATAGGGATGACTTCCGTGTCATGATTATCATGTTTGGATGTGTCGTTTACCTTCGTCATCAATTCACGTCATCCGATACCAAGTTTCGTATATTTGGAGCTATGCAAACAGCCCCGAGAGTGCTATGAGCGTGGTATGTTGTCATGTTCTCACATGAAACGCGTGTCGGGATTGTCATGTTTGCACCAGTCATGTATTTCGTCATTAATTGACGTTACGTAACACCAAATTTGGTATATGTGGAGCTAGCAAAACAGCCGTGAGCGCGTCATGAAGGGCCCAATATACTCCAACGTAGCGTTGACGCGCGCGCGCGCTTGGCACAATGACGCTACGGTTAGCAAAACGCGAGTACTCTATAGTATGACGCCAGGCGCGACCAGCGTCCGTCGGCGCAGCCCGACGGCAGCCGGCGCGAAATGCGACATGCTGCATTTCGCGCTGATGCGTTACCCAGACAACACTGCTTCTCCCTCTTTTCGTGACGGAGGGACGCCGGACGCGCTGAAACGCGCATGCGTCCAAGCAACGCAGCGCAGCGCGCGCCTGCGAGTATATAACGCCTGCGAGTATATGTCACACCACCGTGACACGACGAAATGAACGCCGGCGAGCACGCGCACCGCGTCACGTCGAAATATATTGGTGCCTTGACTGTGGCATGTAGTCATGTTGTCACATGACACGCATCTCATGATTATCATGTTTGCACCACTCACATAGCTTCGTAATCCATTGGCGGCGCGTAATACTTAATTTGGCATTAGTAAGGCTAGCGAAACGGCCGCGAGCGCATCAGTGTGGCATGTAGTCATGTTACATGAGACGCATGTCGTGGTTATCATGTTTGGATCTGTCATTTACCTATGTTGTCCATTCGCGTTCGCGTAATGCCGAGTTTGGTACATGTGAAACTAGCGAAACAACCGCGAGCGCATTATGAGCGTAGCATGTAGTCCTGTTGTTACATGATACGCATCTCATGTTATATCATGTTTGCACCAGTACCATACCTTCGTCATCAATTCACGTCCCGTAATACCAAATTTAGTATAAGTGAAGCTAGCAAAACGGCCACCAGCGCATCATGAGCGTGGCATGTAGTCATGTTGTTACATGACACGCATGTCCATGATTTTCAATGTTAGAGTCTGTATCGCTTGTGTTTGCCATAGCAATCATGCCATATCATACCAGTTTGGCAACATGTACATGTGAACGAAACCACCGCATGAGCTGCAAGACCATGAAATGTATATCATGACATTCATGACATGTCATGATTTTCTTGTTATTACTGGTCAAATATGTTTTTCATACAGTCATGTTATGCGATACCAAGTTTGGTATCGATACCATTATCGAAACGGGCAGGAGAGCTAAAAGTCGTAGGCGGATAGATAGATAGATAGATAGATAGATAGATAGATAGATAGATAGATAGATAGATAGATAGATAGATAGATAGATAGATAGATAGATAGATAGATAGATAGATAGATAGATAGATAGATAGATAGATAGATAGATAGATAGATATATAGATAGATAGATAGATAGATAGATAGATAGATAGATAGATAGATAGATAGATAGATAGATAGATAGATAGAAGACGTTGGATTTACGGCCACATAACATGATCTATTAAGCAGATAGGTGTACAGGCGATTCACATCAGACGAGTCAAAATCAATTTTTCCAAGTTTAGCCAAGAACAGTCAGTGGCCAACTACGCCAAAAGTCTTGCTCCGGTCACAGTAGACTACGTCAACCTGTCCTATCTGAGAAATAGGGGAGGCAATTCGCGTCACGAAACTAGCAAGATTGGTGGTTGTTGAGAGGTTAGAGAGTTACTCGTGTTGATTAGGAATCGATCAATTATTCCCACCAACATACAATACGAGAGCCAGCTCAAAGGTCTCCGATGCGGCACACTGAAGGGAAATTGGGCGATAAATAGAAACATCAGTTTGGCAGCCCACCTAAAATACTGGAAAAACACGTGCAGTCTCCCACATGCTGCAAAATGTGGAAGCTTCAAAATGCTGCAAAATGTTCTCTAACGTTTGCTGGAATCAACGACAATTTCGCATTTTGACTTTATAGCAATGCGACAGCCGTCACCGGGATTGAACCCGCGATTTACGGGTACCCGCTACAGCACCGCAACAAATTCTGGCTGTTCGCGTCAGGCGACAAAAGATGCGTAGGACGAGAAACTTACGCGAACCGATAAACTTGACTGGTCGAGTGTTTTTGCACCGAGATAATTAGTGGACGTGGCGTACAAGTAAACACAAAGGTGTTTTATTTCGCCGGTACGACGGAATGACGTGAAAAGCTTATCTTCAAAGGGAGGACCCCTTGCGAAGCGAATGAACGTCGTGCCATTTTTGTGCTTTTGAAACAGCGGAGTGTATGTTACGTACAAGAGGAATCCATCATTATACCGCCGCTGGACGCTGTTGATGAGATGATGTGCGTCGTGGGCGAGAGAAACACGGGAATCTTTGAGGTTATATTTGTTTGTTTGCTCAGTATAGTCAATAATAATATTATACAAACTCACTCTGTCAATATTCATCATACAAGAGCCATTGCTTCGCTTGCTTTCATCGTAACAGTAAGGGAGGAGCTCCGAATTTTTGTACATTTTCCCGATCAACACACCCTTTTCTATTCAAAACATTGATGATGGTAATATTCATTGGAACGGCACTTGAAAGGATATCGTGAAAAATGTTAGCCATCCCTGTGAATGGCAGGATCCACCTTACAGACACATAGATACTACATTGCAATCCCTTCGAAGCGTAGCGACTACAGTCGGTGAGTGGTACCACGCTGAACTGTGTAGAGGGGACTGAGGATTTTGCGTGAGTTGAAAGCCAATGAGTGAAGCCCGGCAATTAACCGCTGCCCCGCTGTTCTATTGCAGCTCTACCTTCTGCGAAAGCTGATGCAAGGCGACGAGCTGAACGCCAAGGCTCCGCTGTCGGACAACTTCCGGCCCACACTTCCGGTCAATCAGAGACTCGTTCGAACCAACATTGACTTCAAGTGGAAACAGGTCGGTGCATTCAGTCTCTCGAGTTGAACTCGCTTGTAACAATGCATTTCTGTGAACTCGCAATCCAATAGGGGAAAAGGGGCTTCTACGTTGTATTACATGGAACGCTTCCCAGAAGTAATACTCCCGTAGTGCTCTACGGCCTTCTGACATATCGCGTGGCGTTATGACAGCGCTGTTTTTTATAGTGTTCGAGAACTCTAGTGGGATTATTTTCGCTATCGTAGGCTAATTACTGACCGAGAAAACGAAGGTCATCATAGTTTTATGTTTGAATTTAGCACCAGAAACTAATCGCGTGAACATTAGTGTGACGTTACAACTTTCAAGGTCCTTTTTTATGTTGTTAAGAAGGTTTTCTCATTGGATAAAAAAAAATTCTTAATCTTGTGTTCAGACTTTCTGTCCTTAGAAACGCAGTCTACATCATTTTTATCGACTACCGTTTACGTAGGCTCCTAGCAGACGCCATCAAAATTTATGACATCACGCCTACCTGGTGCAGGAACAAACATTACGGTGGTGTCGCCACTTGTATTTTCTTTCTGGGCATTTTCTTGCTCACCAAGCACTTTCTGGCGCTAAAAGTCCTGCTATCAGCATTGTGAAATTATAATTTACTAGGACGAAAAAAAAAAACATTGTACTCTCTAGTGTCGCTTTAAGCAGATAAAAAAAACCACGGTTGGGCTGAATCACAGCCACCAGTGTTAGTACAGGTGCCTACGTAAAAGGGACACTAAAGAGAAACAATGAGTTGTTTTAGATTGATAGACTGCACTCTGAGAACGCTAATGTCAAAAGTTTTGCTGTCATAAGTTCATTATTTGCGGAGAAAATCAAGGTTGAAGCTTCAATTTTATATTTTCCGCTGTCATCTCCTCACGTGACATAAATTCCACAAGGTACTTTTCGTATTTTCGCGACATAGCCTCGATGAAATTTTCTAAGGCTTCGTATACTATGTCTATGGCGCCCACAGATCACGATGTATTTCAATTTATATATAGAAGCCACGAAGGACGCCTTAAAAAATTGATGACGTCACAGTGTTTGGTGCGGAAATCTCAAGGGGGCGTTTCCACCCGCAGTTTCATTTCGCGCGTTTTCTCGCTTAGAAAGTGTCGCGTCGCGGCAAAAGTGGTGTTTCCGGGATTGTCTAATTGTACTTATCTAGTACGCGAAAAGGCGTATTGCTCTTTAGTGTCCCTGTTGCAAAGGGCCACCCACAATCCCACGTTCAAAGACGAGGGGATCGTTTTTTCTTTTCTCCTTCGCACACGCGATGCATCCTCCTCGCCCCTTAGTTCGTAAAAGCACGTGAACAATATCAGCACTAAGCGCTAGAGCCTATCAGGATCTCGCACTTTTCGGCGACACGCTGTTATTGCCACTTGCGCAGCTGTAAACACACAAAATGAAAAGTGATCGATTTATTGTGCACAATATTCAAGCGAGACGAGGAAGAGCAGATGGGCAGCTGCATGACAAAGCAGTGCAGGAGACTAATCACACTTGATGTTTCACATATATGGACCAATCAAGAACGTGTACGCTATAGACGTCACGCGAACTACCGTCTGCGTCACAAAAGTGCGCAAGACGGTCAAAAATATCAGGAGAGAACATTGAACTTTTTTTTGCATTTTGAGAGCCTGGTGAGTGACCCTTTATAATAAAGAGATTGAAAACATAAAAATGGAAGATAAGAAGAAATAAAAGAAGTAGAATAGAAAACATGATGGTAACAAATCTTAACGTAAGATGATACAGCAAAAAGTTCGAACGGCCCTGCGAACAGCAACGATAAGATCACTGCAGGTAAAATGCAACTCACATAGAGGAAACCGAATATATCGTGATATCTCACATTACAAAAAAGCAGCATGTGTAAATAAATAAAACAAAAATCTAACCGCGTATTTAGTATAGCGAACACAGTGCGAGTACCATCTATTGCTTAACGGATATTGCCAATCCGCACGACAATACAAGGAAACCCTGGCGACACAGTACCAGCCATCCGAAACTGTCATCTTAAGCCAAATAATGACTGTGAGTTTAAAAAAATTAAGCTGAACGAATCTGCCAGTTTGTTTTTATTACGAAATGGGGACGAAGGTACTGTGAACCATTTTACGATATTAGAAAGAATTTGGCTTGTCATGGTGGTTTTTAAACGTGATATATCACCGTCGTCTTTAAAATGCAGCTGTCACGGTGCAAGAGTCTTCGGTCGCTCTTTCAGAAGAATCATGCGTGAGTGAATGAATAATTTCTGTGCTTGGGAATGACTTACAACTGTCCGTCGTAAAAAAAAACTTATATCTAACACTGTTATTTTTTTCATTTGTACGGTAACATGTTTTCAGTAGTCTAATATCTTAGGGAGCTGTAATTCTTTTGTTCTATTAGTAACACATTCCGACATGCCAGTCAGAGTTGCTACGAATGTTGCCTTACACATTTTCTTTTCAACTAGCAGAAATATATCCTCATGTGTCTTATGTTTCTCACTCATTGTTTTCCAGGGCTCCAACTGCCCATCCATGTACAAAAATATGTATTATCAAGGTAAGTGAGCACGATGGATGAAATTTATTCGATTACAATATGCACTAAATATATAAAATTTGCGAATGTAACGGTCAGGCACAAGAACAACAAGATTCAATCTGTTCGATGTGCGCGGCCGTTAATTTGCACAGTTTATACCTCCTCTAATGATGCCCCAATTAATTCGTTCAAATACACTTTCTTCTGAACTAGATCACGAAATCCCTGTGTTGCGATATTTCAGCACAGCTGTTAAGGTGTTTAGTAATCTCGAGATACTAACGCGAAAAATTTGAGAGAGCTCACGGTACACAAAATACTTATGACGCAACGAATGTATGGACGGGTACTGTTGACAGATGTGAAAGCTGTGACTCCATACAGGTGGTATGTTAATCACTGAATAAACACCCCAACAAAGCCTAATCCAGTGACCAGGAAAAAAAGAGAATAAAGTACAAATGGGGTCCTGCTTTTGTTCTGTGAGTACCCACACTAGTGTATGCCAATGAGTACCTTAATGATACCCGCATTCCCACTAGAGTTCACTGGGTACCCGGAGGCACTGGCAATCAAACCGAACGAAACCAACTCACTTTATTTTGCGTGCTTCCCGTCTGTTACCCAGATAGTGAGCACGAACGCCACTTGAGTTCGTGAAAACCACGTGGCAGACTGAACAAACTCTTCAAAACTCGATGTGTCAGCGGTGGCGTCGTTGATTGTGGGTGAAATATCGGCTTTGTCATTGAGTGTAAATTCTAGATAGACTGAAATGGCATAATAAAAATGTTTGATCTCGGCTAAAATCGAACCAGGCCTTCGGTATCACAAGCAGATACCACGGAGCCACGATATTACTTTAAACTGCTTGGAAACAAAAGCACTGAAAAGATGCCATGTGCTGGGTGCAGTCTAGCTTCTTAACGCATATTTTAATGTATGACGGAAGCGCTGAATCACAAGTGGCGTCCAAACACGGGACTTGCGCAAAGAATAGGTGGTCTATAGCTGCCCACCTGCTGTATGTTCAGCTGCGCAAATGAGTGGGGCACCTTACGGACGAGTTGTGGGATCTTAGCTGATTTGCAAAAAAGAATATTTATAGCGTACTGGATACCTCGCAGCTGTACTTGTAGTAGGCATTCTAGTATAGTTGGAAATGGACAATGCTATGAGCGCAAACGAAGGCTTTCCTTGGGGCCTTAATGGTTGAAGGTGACGTGAACGCTGGCCCCAATAGCAGTACCGCATTCTTCTGCTCAAGGCGAAGTTCAAGCATACTTTAAGTTGGATGGGAAGGGCTGCAGGGGAACAGTGACTTATTTAGATGGAGCAACGAAATTAAGAAAGTTGGCAGCCGTATAATGAAACTATGTGTTAAGTAACCATGATAACCCCCGTTTGTTCCCTGACCCACTCTGTTCACTTCCTGTCCTCTTAAGGCGTAACTTAAAAGAGAGACAAATAGAGCAGAGTGGATCAGGGAACAGACGGGGGTTAGCGATATTATAATTGAAAACCAGAAAAATAAATGTACATGGGTAGGGCAGGAATGCGTAGGCGGAATAACCACTGGTCGTTAAGGGTAACTGACTGTATTCCAACAGAAGGCATACGTGTAAGAGGGAAGGCAAAAAATTTACGTGGACAGATGAGATTAAAAAGTTTGCAGATCTAACGTGGCAGCAGAAAGCACAGCACTAGGTTAATTCGAGGAACATGGGAGCGGCTTTTTCCCTGCAGTGGGCGTAGTCAGGCTGCTGCTGATGGTGCTGATGATGATGAATGAAATTAGTTCACACAGGACAGGGTAGGATGGAAATTATATGGAGAGGCATTTGTAGGTCAGTGAAAACCTAAAAGAAACTTGATGGTGCTGGCAATTATGACGCATGGTGCTAAGAATACTAGAGAAACGTGTAGTTCAAATACGAAGTAACATTTTCCTTTATCTCCTCCATCCCTACATTCGTCTTACTTTTGTTATCCCTCTTATTCTCCGTCGCCATCCCGACCGCAGCAAACACGAAGTTCGTAGGACCGTGAAGATGTGACGACGACGCTGCCCACGAATTGGGCGAACCCCGGATGTGCCGGGACACTGTTCGACGCCCGAGAGCTTAGAAGAAGAGGCGACTTCAACCACCACTTCGGCTGCTGTTCTGTGCGTGTGTGGCGTGCGTTCTTCAGAAAACAAAAAAGCGTCGCTGTGTATGTGCGTGAAGTTTTCGACGGGCTGCTCACAGCGCTGCTCGAGAGCGTACAGTGATTAACAGCTTCAGAAACTCGGGTGTTTCCTGTTCTTGATCAGCTGTCAATACCAAAACGAACAGTTGACTGTCCCCATGCGTATACTGCTTCGGGCGTGACGTGCAGCTTCGAGAAGTTCGCTCTTTATTGTGCGAGATGGTTTTGTTTTGTGTTTGTAAGTGAGTGTGTGCTCGCTATACCTGGAGGTGCTGCTGTAGCGGATTGAAGGAGAACTACGCACGGTCTCTGCGTGACCGTAAGAATGTGTCGAAAAAAAATGTGTGCTCGATAATTAGTTATGCATGCTTCCGGCAATGTTGCTGCACATAATGAATGATCTCGGTCAAGATTTTGTAGGCTATTTACAGCTGCCAAAGGCTTTTCGAATAGTTGCGTGTGTGACACATGTCTAGTCGAAAGTGTCGTCGTGGAGTTTAGAAACTATGAAGTTAAAAATTCTTCGGTACGATCCATTTTTGGCAGCTTCTGAGGACCGTGGCGTTATGAACAGGTATTTTTATGCGTGTCATTGAGAACATTAGCTCGCTTCGGGAAATGCTTAGAAAAGCGCGAAGTTCACTTCGGTATGTAAAATTCTCGGAATCTATAATATGATAACTTGATCAACGAATACTATTGGAAAACACGAAACTGTAGGGCTCAGAAAGCGCGCATTAGTGTTCGAATGCTGATCGCTTTTCCTGTTTTTAGTCAAAAAGAACGTTCTTAGGAAACAAAACAAAGCATCTGAGCTATAGGCGACCGGACACATGCGGTATATTTTTAAACGTCGCATTCGAATAGAAATTTACCTCTTCAAGGCTTTTTTTTTTTCGGCCAACGCATTTTAATAAATGAAACGCTGTGCGTTACTTTTTTACAAGCCCAGTGCTGTAGTCAGTGACTCCGACGGTTCGAGAAGAGTACACCACGCTGGTGGTAGAAACGGAGATAGAAAAAAGTGAAAAGCAAATACGGCAATGGCAGGTGCAGCGCATGCGAGGAGGTTTAAAAGCTCCTTGAGCGTATCGCGTGGTTTGATGTGTTCGTGTTCCATGCATGCGTGTCACGACTGCGGGAACAATCTGCAAGGACTGCTGAGCGAAACGTGATCCGATTAACCACGTGTAAGTGATTATGAACTAATAATAGCTCGCGACTTCGGAGTACGATGACGCCCGTTCGACGCTGGGAACCACACGCAAAGCTACAACCATGCCATGACCACGGCAGACAGCAGTAGCATCGGCAGGGCTACTACGGATGGGCCTCGTCGAAAGTGACTGTGACGCACCCAACGTCAGATTCTAGTGCTTCCTAGGACACGGACCTCTCGATATTATTTTAGACCGACACTGGTTACGACAGAGTTATTGCCCTCGGGACCTCCTGCTTTGTGTCACGTGATCACTCGTCAAATTATGGAAGGCGCCAGTGGAAGGGCACTGAAGTGCGCCGTGGCAAAGCGTGTTGATAAATGTGCTTTTTAATTACTTACTTGCAGTTGTATTCTATTGTACTTTTCTTGCTTGCATCCAATGAGTATCCATTAATTTTCGTTGAATTATAGGCTTTGCAGATCTCTCATGTCGATTAAAATAATGGCATACGCTTTCTAGAAAAATTAACGAAAGCGGAAAAAAGTTGTAATTTAAGAATGTGGACTGTCAAGTGTTTTTTTTTAATATAAGATGTTGAAATAGGCCATGATATCTTTTTTTTTGATAATCAACGCAATATTGCCCATGAGATGTTCGAGATACAAAGGTTTGAGACAAGAGTTGACTACGTGTAATGTTGCGAGATGAATGTTTCTCATTTGTTTGAAATAAAAATGTGTAACGAAAATTGCGAAGACACGGGCTCAGATTTATTAATTGCGCAAATGATCTATTGTTCAATGGCTGGTGATCGCTATCGATAACAATTCTAGGGCCTGAGCTCGTCATCAGGTCATTAGCAAGGTGCGTTTTTTATATTTGTATGTTGGGAGTGATCGGTGTCGATGCGTGGTGCCGGCCTACTCCTCCTCCGTTCCTTGTATGTTTTGCGCGCAATGGTTTCAACAACCCCCAGCCATCGGTAAATGATCACATGGGTACCAAATACTCAGTGCCACTTTTGAAATATAAGTAGCGTTCACGTAACAGAGGAGTTCACACGAAACAAAGGCTCCTAAAATTGAAATGTTCACACGGCAGATGTTTTGTAGTTGAGAATAATGTCACCCTTTAGTGTCACGCTCTAAGGACAACATTTAGTTACGTGGGCAGAATAACCATATAAACAGGCAAGTACAACGGATACGTCATCAGGAGCAGCTGCATAAATAGTAGCTGTGTCATCAAGAGCAGAAAGCAAGAGCTGTTATGGTATTTGATATTTTTGTAAAGTTGTTTGCTCCTCCACGAATACCGCTATTGCGTGCGAAAGCATTCTTAATTTCTTTGACAGCCATGGACCGAAAAGTAGTGCTGGTGTATACTTAACAGCGAAGAACAAGATTGCAATGGCTGGTGTTTCAATCACGATTGATTTTACGCAACCATATCGAAGCACTTGCGTACAAGCTGTGCGTTGAACTAGCCTCCTCAGTTTTAGAATTAGCTATCTTCGTTTAAGAGGTCTTCATGCAATACGAGAGAAATTTAAATATAACGCTTGCGTATAAGTGCCAAAATTAAAATTTCCATGGCGTGAAAGTGTGGTGAACTTGATTTCTACGTAGTTCGCTTGAGAACCAATGTACAATGTTTAGCTGAACCTAATGCTGGGTAAAAAAATGAAGGAAACAAGACAAATTGCATTCTGAAATAATAAAAGAATTACTAACTTACTGCATACCAGGGAAACTTCTCGACTGGAAATATTAGTAACACACCTTGGTCAAGTAATTAGAGCTATAATTCTGTACTGTAATTAGAGCATGATCATGTACTGTAACGCCGCACTAATTATCGAACAGATCACAGACATCGTAACTACATGGTAACTGCTAACGTTCGAATGTCCTAAACGACCCTGTGCTTCTAGCGTGGATATCTTACTGCCGGCCTCCGCACCAGTTTATCGGGTACAACTCTTGCAGCGTAAAGTAGTGCATGCTTCGTTATTTCTGTGGTTCAGCATTTTACCCCCGATCAATACTTTCGTCCATACCTACTGACACAGATACGAGAATTTTGGGCGGCATAAATGACCATGTTTTTCTTTTTTTAGTTGGGTCAGTTGCGACTCGGCCACCAACACGTAACTCTCACTTCATATATCCATGCACTCATGCCGACGAACAACAACAAAAAAAAGAGGTAATACGTACATTAAAACACGAAAAAAAAAACGTCTCCTAATATTCGAGCCACATATAAGATCAACGATTCCGCCGCAGCATCCTCTCTCTCTTGCATACCACATGACAGCAGTTTTTGCCGTGCGCAAGCGAAACAACGACCTTGTACGGAGAGTAGGCAGGGCTCATCGCCAAGAGGTACTCAGACCGGAGCCGACAGGCGCGCATTCCGGTGTAATGACAAATCCATAAGTGGGTAATGAATATCGCTCGCCCGGAGTTTCGTACTCCGGAGGAAGCCGGTGAGAGAGAGAGAGAGAGAGAGATGTACAACTCGCGCGTCGGCTACGTTTCCCCCGGATGAGGAACGGCGGCGAGAGGGCGCCGCTGTTGTAACCAGCGCGGTACGTGGGCGACGACTGCGAATGCGTATTGGAAAACGTTTAGCGAGAACGCGCCGCACGTGGCCGTCTACAGCGCTTGCTCGTCGTGCCCGGGTATTCGCGACAGACCACCACATTTCTGTTCTACGCTGTGCCCGAATGTATGAGGAACGCAGTGCAGAGGCACGCAGAGTGCAGGTGTGTCGTCACGTCTTCACGAGTGGCGGCGTGGTACAACTCGTGTGATATTAAGCCTCTATTTAATGTAATGTCCACGGCACGTTGTGAGGGCCTAGTCCGAAATAAAAGTCAATCTCCTTATCGAGCACTATTCGCATAACAATATATTCGTTCACGTCATACTTCGAGCTGTCTCGATGTGTTTTTTTTTTTTCGCTAAGATAGGCTCTATACACGCAGCTCGCGCACTTTTGTGGAGTAAGGTTTGAAGTCCGAGTCAGATGGTACATAACGCCTGCATTAGGCCTTTGGACTCAATTGCCCTTCGGCTTTATGACTAGTTAATTCTTTCAATGTGATGTACGCACTTTTTCTGCGTCGCTCAACATTCAATTTTTTTTGTCTAATCTGTATATCACTTAGATAGCTCTCGTGTCAAGTATGGTCGTCTAATACGCTACAATAGATAAGAAAACTACAGACCGCCTAGACATTCTTAATTATTAGCTACGGCCTTGCATAAATCTTATTTAGTGTCTGCCGATGTGTGTTTCCTCATTTTTAGTGGACCAGTCATGAGAGATAGAGTTAAGATACAGCAAATAATGTCCTCAGTGCTTTTATGGTGTAATTGTTTAGCGGTTTAATTAGTGTTTCCCCACTTTCTTGCTGATTGATTGGGAGCCACGCCGTGGCGCAGAACTCCATCAATTTCTACCGTCTAGTGTTCTTTATTGTGTTCAGGCCTCCGTCGAAATGCGACCCCCATGGTGGGGATCGAACCCGTGGCCTTCTAATCAGCAGCCATACACCGTTACCTTAGTGCCACCAAGGCAGACCGATAGTGGAGAGAACAAGCGTTGGAGGGCCTTTCACGAAAGCCACAAGTAAGGGTTTGTAAGAGGTTTTATAAAATCAAAGAGCAAAAACAATTTCGTGATCTCTTCCCGAAGAGCGGAGAAGAGCACTTCAGCTGCCACGCCAGGAGTTCACAATTTCAAGTGGGATCTGCGAAAGGAAATGCCATCAAACTAGGCTGCGGGTCTTAAAAAAATAATCAAAGTAAACGGTCGGCTGAGAAAGGTGT